TTTTTTTTGGTCTGCACATTCATCCGTCCTTCACATTGTATAGATAGTGCTGAAATGGTCGACCTTTTGCACAATACAGTGATTATTTTGTGTTCTCTTTGAGTCCTGGAAGTAGGTACAATGGCTGTTTTATTGCAGTGTGAAATATTAAGAGAGTAGTTAAATAAAATAATAATCTAATGTCTGTTCATACCTGACTAAATGTAGACAATGCAGTGTGAGTTATTTCAAGTGTTATCTGACTGTGTTTTTACTGCGTTTTATCAGAATGCTGTTTCCATGTACTGTCGCCTCGGCTTTGCTGTAAAGAAAGGTCATGTGTTCAACTCAGACCAGCTCCACCCCACCTGGAAGAACGCCCCGTCTGTCAACAGACTCAAGTATGTGCTGGCTGTGCATCCTGTAATGGCGGTGGTGCCTTGTGTTGAACCATGTTTGTCCCATTAACTTGCGTCATTTTACATTTTTAGACAAAATCTCTAAATGTTGAAATATTCAAATGATCTCATCTTCAGATCTTAATAAACCACCACGCTTGGTTTGATTGTGATGGCGGTCCTCTTTCATTCAATCACTGTGACTTCGCCCTCTGTGTTAGGAGCACCATGGACCCTCAGAAGATGCTGCTGTCCTGGGAGCAGGGCAGTCCTGTCATGGAGGGGGGCTCCTCAGCCACTGACACCGACACTACCAGTCTGGAAGACCAAGGTCTGACTGGTCACACACATACACACATATACACAAACTGCTGTGTATGCAGATACATACACATCCTGATGTATGCACACAAAGCACTTTGTGAACATGACTTCAGAAGTTTTGAAGCAGCGGTGCTAATTAATCCCTAAGAAAGCTCAGTCGTGCTTCTGAAAGTTATTCTCACATTAGTAAGTAAGTGTTTATCTGAAATGGTCTCATTTTTGGTCTAATTTTAACTTTGTTATGCTTTGTTGGGTTGCTCAGTCTAACAAATTGCATATCAACAAAGTGGTTGTTCATCAGCCACATTCACATGTTAATAATCAATAAAAATAAAAAAATTAGAGAAAGAGACGTGGTTTGGGTTGGTCCTTGTAAACACATTTCATTTTCAGAAAATCCTCAATTTAAGAATTATGCAGTTGTGCTATTACATTCATTAATGTTTCTGTAATGTTTCTGTAGCAGACACAGCCAGTGTAAGCAGCCTGAGCATTCCAGCCGCACCCACAAAGAGGATTGCCTTCCTCTTTGACTCCACCCTTACAGCCTTCCTCATGATGGGCAACCTGTCTCCGGTTAGTGACTGCACGTGAACACACAGGCAGAAGTCTTTTAATCACAATAAAAATGGACATCGACTCGATTCCTCTGTTTTCGTTCTTCTGTCAGAACCTGAAGAGTCATGCAGTCACCATGTTTGAGGTGGGTAAGCTGTCCGATGAGACTCTGGACAGTTTCCTGGCTGAGTTGGAGAAGGTGAGACTTTACTGGTGTGTGTAGTAAAGCATCTCTCATGAAACACTAGAGGATACTAAATCGATGTAGTAAAACATTTATAGCTCGATGTGTACATGTTCACAACACTCTAACTTATTTCCTGGTTTCTGTCTCCAGGTGGAGAGCACAGCGGAGGGCGAGGCCCAGCGTTACTTTGACCACGCTCTGACCCTGAAAAATACCATCCTCTTCCTGCGCTACAACAAAGAACTCACTCAGGACCAGGGACCTGATATCCCAAATATAGGTAATTGTACAGTTATACCCTCTTTGTAATCCACTTTATGGTTAACTGCATGCAATATCCAGACGTTATACACCTGTACATGTTTATACATGTGGTAAATGGACAGCTTATAGCTTGTTTTTGTGTATTCTTACACAGCTGGCATGCTGACTTTGGTTTTAAGTTTGTTTCCAGCCTCAACTGAAAGCTAGTGGAATAGAAACTCATGTTTTTGATGATGGTTATTTTCTGCACATAGTTCCCTCTGTGCTTCATCTGTGTTTTTTGTAGTTTGGTTTCTGCAAACAGTTGACATTATCTGTGAGAAAGATGCACATAATCAATCAGACAGAAGGTGAGAGCAGGGAGGTGGCGGTGCAGAGTGGATGTGGTTGAAGTTGAGTAGGTGTGTCAATGTGTGTATGATTCAAAGCACAACACAAATGGCTCATTATTTCCAGTGAAAAACATAAATGTATCTATTGATGTAAGTGATACATATTTATGTGAAATAAAAAGAGGTAAAAAAGTAAGAATGTAATGCAAAAATCTGGGTAAAGATGAGGGTTAACTGAGGCCAATGTTCAGCAAATCAGCAGCACTTTCGTAACTCTCGGCTGTCTGTTTCGCCCCTCACCTCTGTTTGAATAGTTCTTGAATGTGGTCACATATTTCTGGATTCACAGGCATACAATGAGAGTGAAGCTGTATTGTTCTACTTGTGACTCTAGGGGGAGCAACAGAGTGAGTCCTCCAAAGACAGCACTTGCCATGTAGCTACTGTTGTGCCACCAGATGCTGTTTGTTTGCTTTGGCTGCGTGCCTCACTTCTGATTGTCTTATCTCTCAGTCCTCTTCAGCTGCAGCTCCAGGCGTCTGCTGAGGAGCGAGCACTGAGAGCCTGCTGTTGGAAGCTAAACTAAGCCCTCAATGATACAAGAGTCTTGCAATGATCCTGATGATTGTTCATTTAGGAAGTGGGGAAAATGTCTCCTGCCAACAAATACCTCAACAGACTAGACTCATCTTTGCTGCAACTCTTGCTGCTCCACATAGCAATAGAAAGCTGAATTCTGATTGACAGCATAGAGGCTAGGGACATAGAGACTGAGACAGAGACAGCACCAGACTCTTAGAGAGTGAATGGCAGACTGATGTATATTATGTGGGTAAATTATTATTACAAAAACCAACATCCAATCCTCCTTTAGACAATAAAGTGTGAAACATCATTCCTGTTGCTTATTGTAACTGACTTTTGTAAGGCATTATTTATGTTCAGTTCCTTAAGTTACATTTGCCTCTGCCAAACTCGACTCTCGTACTGATTTATCTGTTAATCATCTCAGGAGTTCACACCTCTTGTCTCTTAGATTTATATTTAGGTAACCATTAAATCCAATGCTGCGATGCTGTGATGCTTGTGTCCTTTTGAGAGTCACCTCAAAAAGAGAGCACACTTCTTAACACCACGGCCAGAAAGAAAGAAAGAAATAAAGGAAATCTTTACTGTGCATTCCAATGTGAGCCACTGCCCTTGAACCTACTTTACTGTTTGATTAATCTACACTTGGCAGATGAACTTCCAGGAGCTTTATTTGTCCTTCTTCGTCTGCTTCTTTTCATTTAAAGGAATAGTTTGTTATTTTTGCTTATGGGCTTTATTGTTTAGAGTTAGATGAGAAGATTAATACCACTCTCATATTTGTGTATTTCAGTTTAAAGTAAGACTGCAGCCAGCAGCTGATTAATTTAGCTTAGCATAAAGACTTGAAACGGGGGAAACAGGTAGCCAAAATGTTGTACTGTTGCTTCAACACATCTATTTTATTCATGCAGACACAAGAATGCAAACTGCATGCATACACCTAATCACTCGGACTTGGCTTTCACCTTATTCTGTACAGAATTTGTGACTCTTCCTTATTTACTTATTTTCCCAACTAGGTTTCCCCTTGGACATGCTGCGCTGTGAGAGCCTGCTGGGTCTGGACCAGGCCACCTGCAGCCGTGTCCTCAACAAGAACTACAAGCTGCTGGTCTCAATGGCGCCGCTAAGCAACGAGATCAGACCCATCAGCAGCTGCACGCCTCAGGTATGACACCTGGAGGGAGGGAGAGCTGAGGGGATACTATGTGGCATGCAGGGTTGTTGGATCCAATGTTGGTTAGCGTTTGTGTTTTATCTAACAGTTTGTGTGTGTATGTGTGCTCTGTTTGGTTGTATTTGCCCTCTTACTGTGTGTACACACTTGTGTGCCCGCGGTGATTTGTGACTGTGTGAGCATGCTTTGTGGGCGCTCAGCCTGCAGTTGCCCCCAACAACAAAACTACACAAAGAGAGCGAGGGAGAGGAAGGGAGGCGAGGCTCATGAGTAATTCCTCTGCCTGGCCACAGTCCAGCTTTCTAGCTGAGCTCGGAGAGACAGAGGGAAAGAAGTTAAACTCTTGTTGTGCCATTCACGCTGCTGTTTATTCTTACACTGCTGGGACTCAGCAAAGTGGAAGTCACTGAATTCTTTTCTTTGTTTTATGCTCACATCTCTAATAGCAGCTTCAATTTCTGCTTCTCTGACAAAAGAACAACACATACACAATTATTGTCCTTTGTCTCTGTTACTTTTTTGTTCATTTGAAGTGTTTATGTAAGAAATAAAATGGGGAAACGATGTCTCTCCTGTACACTTATGTATGTGTCCGTGTTTGTTTCTCCCTGCAGCACATTGGTCCGGCCATCCCCGAGGTGAGCTCCATCTGGTTCAAGCTGTACCTGTATCACGTGACCGGCCAAGGCCCGCCGTCTTTGCTGCTCTCCAAAGGCTCCAGGCTCCGCAAACTGCCGGACATATTCCAGGTTAGCCAAAACTAATAATTAATCAAATGTAGGTACACGGTTGAGTAAGTAAATGTATGCCGGTACGGATACTGTGTAAGTTAAAGAAACACTGTTGAAGTCTGATAAGAAAAGACAAACAGTAGTTTGAGCCAAATGAAAGATGAGATTGGACGCTTTCTTCTTCCTCTTTGACACCTGCCCTTTGTTAAATTTGACCTTGCCGTTTCAGTCGGAGGAATAAGTAATGAGAGCACTGGAGGTAAAATTCAAGGGCGTCCCCCTTCGTCAACCTTCATTTCTCAACAAAGCACCTGGTGCAACGCAGTCACAGTCATACCACGCCGTGCACCTGAATTTTCCTCCTCCAAGGCTTCCTAGTGGTCTTGGAATTTTTTAACTATCCTGGGAATGTGAGACGGGGGGACAAAGGAGAATTTGATGCTGTAAATTCTCATGGGAGGACAGCAAATGGGTCACTTACATAGCAGCATGTATTTTTCTACTTGTTGTGTATGCCTGAGTTTATTCACCATGAACTGTAGTAACACACAGTTTACTCCATCACTGCATTTAGAGCTGAAAATAATAAACAACACAGATAAGAATAACACCTCAATTACATTGAGAAACTCTGACTCAGTTAGGGAAAAACATGCACAAATCATGGCATGTAAAATCAGCAGCAGGGTTGGAGGGTTAATTATTTGAATCAGTTAACATTTGGTGTAGCAGAAAGTCGACAAGTTGACATGTCAGTAAGAACGGAAGAGTGATGTTTCCTTTCCATCAGCTTACTTCCTAGATGAAACCACTGGTACTGTAAATAGCACTTGTGAGATTATGCATTACATGTAGAAACGGATAAATGTCAATACTGTTGTAGAGGATGGAGATACTAAAACATGTCTTTGTACTTTGTACTGCTCTTATTCTCTGTTATTCCCGCTACCTTCAGTCAAGACTCTCTATTATGTAAAATGCATTCTTATTATTATTCATCATTACTCAGTATGGTGAGTAATGAGCTGTTAGAGGAAAATGTCTTCCCATGATGCCTTACACCATCACACCACAGTCCTGATGATTTCACTGATTAGCAGCTGTGGAAGGATGCTTTGATAACCCGTTTGTCCTTCCTCTGTCCAGGTCTACGACAGGTTGTTGATCACCTCCTGGGGTCACGACCCTGGAGTCGTCCCTACGTCTAACGTGCTGACCATGCTCAACGACGCCCTCACACACTCTGCTGTATTAATCCAGGTGAACACACACACACACAAGCTCCAATTTTACAATGAGGTTGTTTCAGAACACTGCATCCTCTAGTGTTATGTATCTACTTTTCGTGTGTTGTCACTGATAACAGATTTTGTACCACGTCTCACAGTGTGGATATATAAACTGCTCTGTATGTGTGTGTGTGTGTGTGTGTAACCTTCAGGGTCATGGAATGCACGGCCATGGAGAAACGGTTCACATCCCGTTCCCCTTTGATGAGGAAGATCTGAAAGCAGGTGAATTATTATTATATTATATATATTGACATTATACAACCTATATGTTATGTTGGTACATAAGGAAGAATAATTCAGCCTTAATGCGGCTTTTATTTTATAAAAGTCTTTAAAGTCTTTTGAGAAACATTATGTTACTGAACGGGATTAACTTATTAACTGATTATATTATAATCATACACTAATAATATGAATATCAGTATATTGCCGCTGCTATAGTGTGTGTGAATGATTAACATGACCTTAGTCAAGCTGCTCTCAATTCAGTTTTTGGCTTTGAGGGTTTTAAGTCGTCAAACGTCATAAGGATTTGAATCCTCTGAAATCCACTTAAGACTAACACTGTAGTCTCATCCCCTTAAATACATTTGCTTTCTGAATATTCTGTCCTCTGGAGAAACATGTTTTAATGAATGCCACGATATGCAGATATTAGTAGAGGTGTGTATGTGCTGTACTTGAAGCATCACTCCCGTCGTTTGTGTTGCCGCTGTCCTCCTTGTGCAGAGTTCTCCTACTCCAACATGTGTACGCACAAAGCGCTGCAGAAGCTAAAGGAGCAAGTGGACCTGGAGCACCAGTGTGGCTACATCACCATGCTCAACTCCAACAACAGGCACCGTCGCAGGGCCAGCGACAGTGCTGAGTGCAGAGGTAGGGCCGCTAATGCAAATGTGTGTGCGTGAGCATTTGAGAGACCCGACATATAGTTGAATTAGTAACAATGTCCTTGCATCTGATGGCCATTGGCACTGATGGTGCAAATTAGATAAAGATTGCTCACAGTCCAGTTTAATTATACTGTTTGTCTGCATAATTGGGTCCCTTATCGTGATAGCCTTTGCTAATGGACGTGGATCGAACAGCATTAGCCTTTACTTTGAGATTTACTGATTGAATCTCGCTGATGTAAGTGATCACAGATTTTGTTTGACATAGATATTCATGTACATAACAGTGCCCAGTTCATGGCAAGTCATAGTTATTCAGCCAAAAGGAAGTTATTTCAGAAGTTAAATGAAACTTCTTAACTGAGGGGCATTCAAGCTGTAATCTAGCTGTGATCAGTTTCCCAGAAACAACCTTAATGCTGATGGAGCGTTGCTGCTTTTCTTCAAGGTGACACTCATCTAGGTGGAGGCCTGGAGACCAACGGCAGCACCGAGTCCTTTGAGCTTGTAACAGAAGAAAACAACGGGGAAAGCAAAGCAAAGACAGACAGTAGGTCTACTTTTTATCTTTTCGACTTTGAGAAAGTTGGAAAAGACGACAAAGATGGTTAATTGTGACAAAAGTTCCTGTGTTAATGCTATGTGTCTCATGTTGTAATGCATGTTTCTTTCAGGCTTTTCATCTGAAGATGAATGGGTCCCTCTTGAACTGTGCTTCGGCATGCCCCTCTTCAGCTCCGAGCTCAACCGCAAAGTGTGTCGAAAAATCGCCTCGCACAAACTGTGCAGCAACGAAAGGTAAAAAAAAAACAAACAAACACCCAGCATCCTCAAAAATGTCACTTTTGTTTCAAACATTGAGAAAAGATGTGTGGCGGCGCTCGACTTTAGCTTTGTTGTTTCGTTTTTTTTTTTTTTCAGCCTTCAAGAGCTACTTCACTCAAGCCGAAAGCTGTCGCTGAAGGTGTTGAGCTTCGTTCAGTCATTCCAGGTAACAACACTGCTGTCTCTTCAGGTCGCCACCTTAGAATACTCACAGAAAATAAAATAAATAACAGTGTCAAGTGAAAATATCAGCCGTCAGGAAGTTAATCTTACAGATTGAGTCAAGAACAAGACTAATGATTTTGTAATTATTTATAAATATATTTAATACAATTAATTTAATTTTGATACAATAGTACAGTACTGTGTCGTGTAGCTTTTACAGAATTTGGGTCACAATGTGAGGTACACAGTGGGTTATCTTAAGATATTCAAGCCATGAATTTGAGTAAGTAATGTTTCACATGAAAAAACAACATAATTCAATCTTGCATTTGGAAAAACAGCACTAAATTGTGTTTTGGATCTTGAGATAATGAAATAATTAAGTCATGATTTTGATATAATGGGTTTTAAACAATTATCAGGAACCGTGACTGCTCCTGGCAGCAATTTCATTAAAACCTTTTGTTTTGTTTAGGTCTGGTTAAATAATAAACTATTCTTTCACCAATCAGTTTGTATTTATTTAGAAGGCATCTTAATAAATAAAAAGATATTGTTCTTCATGAAGTGACCCACCGCCAGTTTAAGAATAGACTTCTAACTGAAGGTAAATATAGTGGCTAAAGTATTTTATTTTATTGAAAGATGCAAAACAAAGCATTAGCATACCAAACGTGAAGTTGTGTGTATTGTACTGTGTATCGTGTCCTGAAAGTCACAGAAGAAACCAAAGAAAGAAACAAACAAAAACACAATTATCATAGTTGAAATTGAGTGCAGTAACACGAGTTGTGTGAGAAATGGTAGATAAAAATGAGGTATTGTTTTGATTTAGAAATGTTTCATTGTGTGTGAGGGTGAAGGGGAGGAAAAAGAAAACAAGATTTGAGAGAAAAACAATTTAATAGAAAGTGGAAGAGCATGGTGAACATGTAGTTCTAGTTTAAAATGTGAACATCTTGTCTCTCCTGTGTGCCGTCTGCCCATGCCACAGACCTCACTGATGTAACTGAGCCTCTTGACCCTGTCTGCATATTTTATACACTTCAATTCTCAGGCATGATTTAGACTTTGGAAGTTTTCTAAAACGAGCATTCTGCCTAGCCTTTACTCACTTTAGTATCCTTGTCCCACATATCTCATCCGCTCTGCCTGGTGTTCTGATCTGTGACATTTGCCCCTGTGTTGGCAGGACGGCGTCCAGCCCTGTGACCTGGACAGCGGCGTGTCAAACCCTCTCAGTCAGCCCCCGGCGGAGTCCGGTGTCCCCCTGCCCGCCCTCAACCTCCTCTTCAAGGACGGGCAGCTGAAGGAGTGGAGCGGGCGGGCCCCTCCTCCTCTGGACATCTCAGCGCTGCAGAAGGACCAACCCACATAAGCCCCTCAAAACTTCCAGATTTGAGGAAATTCTTATCCGAGGTTCAAACCCTGCATCGTCATCACAAGGAAACACTGTCATTCAAGAAGCCTCGCCCTCTTGTCCATCAGCATCCACTCATGGGAAAAATTAGCCCCGCCAGCACTTTGTCATTTACCTACTGTATGAGGAATCATCCTTCTGACAGTGTTGCCAACACTAGTTCAAACCCCC